GCTCTGCAGCTTACCTGGCTGCTTCTTGCTCTGACTGGGGGCTGCTGGGAGCAGGGGGCAGGGCTTGTTGCACGTGCCCACCCCCTGGGCTCTTTACTGCCGGAGCTCCGCTCCTGTGCACTCCTGCAGGAAATGACCCCTGATTGTTACAATGGAAACTCAGGACTGAGTCTCTCTCATAGCACCTAGTTCTGCTCTGATAGATCAAATCGTAGAGAAGGGCAGGAAGGGTTGCATCAGTGCTTTGATCTCTCTTCGGTTCAGGCCCACGTCGAGTCTTTAACTGCACACGCCGCATTTTCTTACAAGCAGCAGCCTTTTCTTCAGGGATCTCTGTTTTGAGCTCGTGATTCACCTCATTCGGAGACGGTTTTGTTATTATGTCTTCTGAATCTTTCCCCCCCGACAGTACGCTTCTAATCGAAACCGGGCAGCTGTGGCTGGTTTTCTGACATCTGCAATGGAAGGCGGAGATTTGTGGCGTGCGTATGTGCATGTACGCATCCATTAAAACAGCGGTTGCTGCAATTTTTTATTCCTACATGGTAACCCCAGCATCTTCTCTCCCTCACTTAATAGAACACCATCGTATTTACCAATTACTGCAGGGCTGAATGTGTCCTCTGTCTTCCGGGGCTTCACGTGGACCGGACATGTTTCCTTTTAAATGCTGCAGATGCATACATATAGAACTAGATGACCCTGGAGGTCCCTTCTTCTCAGAAAACGCTCCCTTTCTCTTCTTCGGTTCAGGCCCACGTCGAGTCTTTAACTGCACACGCCGCATTTTCTTACCACCAGCAGCCTTTTCTTCAGGGATCTCGTGAGCTCGTGATTCACCTCATTCGGAGACGGTTTTGTTATTATGTCTTCTGAATCTTTCCCCCCCGACAGTTCACTTCTAATCGAAACCGGGCAGCTGCGGCTGGTTTTCTGAAATCTGCAATGGAAGGCGGAGATTTGTGGCGTGCGGATGTGCATGTACGCATCCATTAAAACAGCGGTTGCTGCAATTTTTTATTCCTACATGGTAACCCCAGCATCTTCTCTCCCTCACTTAATAGAACACCATCGTATTTACCAATTACTGCAGGGCTGAATGTGTCCTCTGTCTTCCGGGGCTTCACGTGGACCGGACATGTTTCCTTTTAAATGCTGCAGATGCATACATATAGCCGATGCAGGGCTCTTTTTGTAGCAGGAACTCCTTTGCATTTTAGGCGACACACCCCTAATGTAGCCAATCCTCCAAGAGCTTACAGAGCTCTTCTTACAGGGGCTACTGTAAGCTCTTGGAGGATATAGGCATTAAGATATAGGCAATCATTCTGGGCAGAAAAATTAAAATGACAAAGCCTTGGGTGCTTACAGGAAGTTCTGACAATAGAATTCCGGGGGGGATTCCTAGAGCTACCGGAAGCGACACTGGTAGCTCTAGCAATCGCCGGGAACTCTAGAAATCCGTTTTTAATTTTTCTCCCAGGACACTGCCCCTCCCTGCAAGCTGACCACCAATCCATGCCGGCCTCAGCTCTGCAAGCAGGCTTTCCTGAGAGCTTTGGCTACGCCCGAGTCTTCCAGCACCCCTCCAGGAAGTATCCATTCGTCCCCGGTGATGGAATTTCATCATCCTTTCACAAGATGTTCTGGCCTGGATGGCGTATCTGAGGACATTTCTAATTGCCTTGTGTACCAGCAAGGACGCCAGCCATACACCCACCTCAGTTGTTCTTTGGCAAGGCCTTCTTATGCTCACAACAGACTCTTCTTATCCTTCCACGAAGCCGCAATTGGCTAGGAGGTTATTGGCCTACAGAGACTGCTGGCTGAGGAATTGATTCTGTATGTTCAGGGTCGCTTCCAAAGGTTGCCACCTTAGTCTGCAGTATGAACACATATGAAGCTGCCCTATACTGGATCAGACCCTTGGTCCAGCAAAGTCAGTATTCTCAGACTGGCAGCGGGTCCCAGGCAGAGGTCTTTCTCATCCCCCACTTGCCTTATCATTTTAACTGTAGTTGCCGGGGATTGAACCTGGGACCTTCTGCATGCCAAGCAGATGCTCTACCACTCATCCACGGCCCTTCCCCACCACTGAGCCACAAGCCCCTCCCCTCCCCTCCAGCTAGATCGGAGCCCAGTAGATAAGAAGAGAAGAAGAAGAAGAGATTGGATTTATACCCTGCCCTTCACTCGGAGTCTCAGAGTGGTTTACAGTCTCCATTCCCTTCCCCTCCTCACAACAGACACCCGGTGACGTAGGTGAGGCTGAGAGAGCTCTTAGGGAACTGCTCCTGAAAGACCAGCTCTCAGACAACTGTGGATGACCCAAAGTCACACCGGCAGCTGCATGTGGAGGAATGAGGAATCAAACCCGGTTCTTCAGAGTCCGTGCTCTTAACCACTACAGCAAACTAAACACTATACCAAACCAGCACCTTAGACACCTCATCTGCGTAGCTCCTGGCTGTTGAAGTGACTTTTCCATACACAGATGTAACAGAATCATTTCCAGGAAACTGAAGGATTGGTGGAGAAAAACGGCTGCTAGTGTTATTAGGGGGAGGGCAATTTCTTTTTCCAAAATTCCCTTTTTAAGATATAGGCATTGATTCCTCTTTGGTGCAGTGGTTAAGTGCGCGGACTCTAATCTGGGAGAACCGGGTTTGATTCCCCACTCCTCCACTTGCAGCTGCTGGATGACCTTGGGCAAGCCATAGTTCTGACAAGAACTGTCCTTGAAAGGGCAATTCTTGAAGGAGCTCTCTCAGCCCCACCTGCATCACATGGTGCCTGTTGTGCGGCGGGGAGGGGAAGGGAAAGGAGTTTGTAAGCCACTCCGAGACTCCGAGTGAAGGGCGGGGTATAAATCCAATCTCCTCCTCCTCCTCCTCTTCTTCTTCTTTCTCCTCCTCCTCTTTTAAAAGATGGATTTCTCCATCGTTTCTCCTTCATTTCTCTTTGTAGAAAAACCAGTGCGCCCTTTTGTCATGTCAGAACCTTGTGCTTGTCTTATGTGACACAACACCAGGTGGCACTCTAAGCAGGAGGACAGGACGGTTGGGGAAACGTTTAGCTGCTACCTCTGAGCATCTACAAAGTAAAATTCTAAACTATTGAAGACTCTCCTTTCCTGCCCCTCCTCTTCAAAGTCCTCCGTGATCAAAGTGGAATGGATAAGACTCCGAGTTCCTAAAAAGAGACGGAAAGAGACGGGTTCTTGGATTACAGAGAGAAATTGGACAAAGAGGAATGAAGATCATCCCTCTTAACAACGGGATGCTCTGCTGTTTTCCATTTGCACCCCCTCCTTCCCCCCCCCCAAAAAAAGATGATCTCTGAGCCTCTTTCTCCAAGCCCTGCTTTTATCTGGACACTGGAGAGGAGGGGAAGGTGAGGCCGGCGCTGGCTTTGTGGAGCGTTTGGCCAGCCCTCCTCTCTCTCCTCGCCCGCCAAGCGCTGTTATGCGAGGCCGGCGGTCTGTTTCCTTTGGCCCCCAGCCAGTGGAAGTCACTGTTGTTGTTATTGTTCGGGCCGGAGCAAAAGGATGCAGTCATTCTTTTTCCCCTCTTCGATTTCCAGCAACAAGTTGTTCCTAAACAGAGTTGTTCTGATCAGCGAAAAAAACCCTGGCATTGTGTCTCGGGGGTGGGCGAGTGGGCAGTCTCCCTCCCTCCCTCCCTGTTGTCCAAAATCCATATGCACCTCACTATACTTTTCAGACTTCTGCAGCTAGCAAATCCCCGTTGGGTTCAGAGCTAACGACGCAAAACGGAATTATTCAAGAGGACTTTTTTGCACAAGCCAGTAGGTCTGTGCTGTTACAAAATAGTCAGAAACAATGCTCCCTCTAAGCTGTGGAGTCTTTTGAGCAAAAAAGTCTACTCTGTGAAGTTGTTGTTGTTGTTCAGTCACACAGTTGAGTCCGACTCTTCACGACCCCATGGACCAGCTCCTGCCAGGCCCTCCTGTCTTCCGCCATCCTCTGAAGTTTGCTCAACTTCATGTCCATTGCATCTATGACACTGTCTAACCATCTCATCCTTTGCCGTCCCCGTCTTCTTTGACCTTCGATCTTTCCCAGCATCAGGGTCTTCTCCAGGGGGTGCTCCCTTCTCATTTGGTGGCCAAAGGATTTGAGCTTCAGTTTCATTATCTGGCCTTCCAGGGAACAATCAGGGTTGATTTCTTTTA